GCCCCGCACCCCCCCCCCCCCCCCCCGCCCCGGGCCAAGTACCCACGGGGCCAGAGCTGAGCGTTTCTATTTCAAGGACCCTGACCAGGTTGCTCCTCTGGAGCCCGCTCTGGGGCCGCAGCCTACACGACGCCCGTTCAGTTGCAGTTCAGGCGGGACTAGAGGCCTGTGAAGACTCCGAACGTGGGAGTCCCGGCGAAGGAGCCCAGCCTATCTTGCAACTTCTATTCTATATCTCGCTTTTCTCTTCCCACTCCGCAGCCTCGAATAGGGCTGATGCGGGGCACAGGAGACTACTATCGGGATTTTTCTGAGTTAGGTAGAGGTCATCTCCGGCTGCTCTCCTGATTGCTCAGCCTCTCTTTAGTCTTCTCCCCGCCGCTCCCAGTAGCCGTAGCGGGGCTTTCCAGAATGGATCCCAGCCAGGCCGGTCGGAGGTAGTTGGCCTCCTTCTTCGCGCGCTCAGGCTACATCGGAGATGCCCGTTGGGCCTGTGTGCCACCAGCCGCGCGCCGCTGTCCGGGAGGGAAAATCAAGTGCAGTACTTCTAAGTTAGCCGTCGCTTCGCGGGAGTCGCTTATCGGAGTGTGGGATCTGGGTCCAAGGTGTATCCAGTTACTGCGGCGTTCTGGGGCATTTGCATTCTCTTGTCTGAAAAGGGGACCTTTGAAATACTGGAGCTGTGCTCCACTAATGATAGGTTTTCCTTCCAGACAGTTTAGCTAATTACTGTCAGATAAAGTAAATACGGCTGCTTAATGGAAACATTTGATTTTATTTTAATCGAGGGTATCTGCCTTGCTATGTTTTCATCACATTATAGATTTACACAACCTCCAATCGGATATTTGATTAAAGATCATGGCTAAATGGTGGCAAATTACACGTGTAAGGGAAATGCTATCTAGGTAAATAATAAAATCGTACCTTTCTTTAAAAAAGACAAGATGCTTACCTTTTCAAAAAGTACATTATCGAGTGAATATGATAATTATTTGAAAATTGTATAATGCTTTGTTGTTATTCTCTACACAAATTTTGCTTAATCAATGTACATAAATATATAGGAGATAATCAATAGTTTTAGTTATATATGTCACTGCTTATCATGGTGCTTAAATAGCCATTCGATTATGCAACCAATATCACAAAAAAGTTGTAAGTATTATGGCTTTCTAATCTAAATGTAGCACCACAGTCAAAAGTAAATTTTTATGCAGGTGCAGGTTCCCTATGATGAGTGTATCAATATGTGTGACTAAAATGTACCAATAAATGTTTTACTATAAAAAGTATTTTTTATTAAAGAATGAAAAAATTATCCTGTGATAACTGAGCTAGCCAAAACTAATACCATAGTTCCGGTAAAATTTTTATCTTTTTAAAATTACTGTCCTAGAAATTTCATTTTTAAGAATATCTTACAAGAAGGAAAATGAGAAGGATTGTTTTTCTCTTCAGCAGTAATGCAAAATTAGTTTTTTGTTCATTTGTTGTTCTTGGTAGTGGTGTGTGTTTTTGTGGGTTGGGTCTTTAGTCAAGAGATGTCTGAAAGCTTTCCAGAATTTTTGAGCAAGCGAGAGGCAATCACATTTTAAGTGCAAGAAGGGTAAATACATTTTCAACGAGGTTTTCAATGGAGTCGGTCAATTCGAGAAAGCATTAAACTAATTTCTTGAGACTATTTGTTTCCTTTTTGAAGTAATTTGTAGGGGATTTTTAAATGCTATTGTGAACATGTAATTTGCTTTGTGTGCTGTTTACATACATGCCAGATTTTTCTAGATGTTGTTGGGAGTTGAGTTTTCTAAATAACACTCCATTTCTCCCTATCCTTAGGGAGAAAATCAGTCCAAATTCAGCAAATTGTGTAATTTTTGTAAAACAGAAGCCCTTGGTAGGAAGGTAAGTTTCGATTTCTCAGGGAGAGGACTGTTAATGTCCTTCTCCAAAAATTATAAAGATAAAAATGTAAATTAAGATTTCCTCACCAAACTAGTTCTATTTTGTTAATAAACATTTTAGTCAGAAGACTATCTTTTCCCAATGAAAATCAATCTTTTTTTTTCAAATTAAAAACGCCCAAGTGAAGGACACCTGTATATAGGAATTTATTCTCACTGATGTGTGTGCTATTTGGGAGTGCGGTTTTAACTTGGGGGATTAAACTGGAATTCTGAATGCATTCCGTAACTTTTTTTCTTTAGTGTGAGTTTAACTTCCTGTAGCGAAATGTCAATGTCTATGAACTTTAAAAAATACAACTGCAGATGAGCAGCTGCAGTCTTTGGCAAATTAATTCACTTAAACCAGAGCTCCTATCTGCTCTGTGCGGTTTGCT